TGATCACTCGGCTGATATTCTATAATAGGTCAGTAAAATAACTAAATTATTTTCCAAATTTTTTTTTGTCAACAAAAAACTTTACGCAATTATCTTCATGTTACTAATTTGTTCTTAATTATTATTATTATTATATTTGAGAAAGACTGTCGGTATATTTTGATGAAAAGATAAATAAGCGATCACTGATAAAAAATACTACAGTGAGGATCATTTTGTTGCCATTCGGATAATTATTCTTTCGTATGACCAAGCATGTGGATGAAATTTATAAATCACAGAAAAGTTAGCTGAAAAATTTATCTAAGCTAGAATGACATACTCAATTCCCGAAATTTCACCTCAATTTCTTCTCTTGTTAGCATCCATTCAACAATTCTTTTTGGCTTATCATAAATCACTTTCTCGTTATCAACATTTATATATAATACACCATCTTGAAATCGTTCCCGTAAATATTCACCATCAGTATTCCGTTGCTAATAAATTTAAAATCTTAAAATTAAAAAAATAAGGAAAATTAATTTCGAAAAAATTTAAAAAACGGAAATATTTCGGTAATACAATTTTAATAACGTTTTGCTACAAATATTATTCATCATTTTGTTTACATGTTAATCTTTGGATTTAAAATTTTTACGAAGTAATACCCATTTCTTCCTACGCTCGACAATTTCTTCCGGACCAGATATTGCGGTATTAAAAGATTTCGTACAATTTTTCTCCACGATATAAGTAATAATTTTGCCGCTTCATCATTTTTACCATTCATAAGGAACATATTTAAACGAAGAGCTAAAATTTGACAATTCTTAAACAATTCGAAATTATTAATATTTGAAATTTATCATTTGAAATATAAAAGAATCCTTCTATTCACAAAATATTTGTGAAATATACATTCATAAAATCAAATCTTTCCTTTCTTTGATAACTTCAGTTAACATTACAGTTATAATTAATCATGTTTGCATTTTTACATCATATTATTAAATACAATTTCTGATATATTCCTTTTCCCAGTATTATATGTTTGTAGTGATGCATTCGGATAAAATCTTCTCTGGCAAGAATACTAAAATAACAACAGATTTACTTACTCTCTCGTGACTTATTCACTGCATTGATTACATTTAGACTGACCCTTCGAATGACCTCATTCACCTCTTTCATTGTTAAAGTTGGATATTTCTTCAATGCATACATACAATATGAAATGTATTCTACTTGTACATCATCCAAATCATGAAGTATTATTAATAAATTACTGCAATCATTTTCTTTACATGCCATATTTATTTTTTCCACTAAAAGGCAATATTTTTAATAAAAAATTAAAATCTTTAAATTAGTAGTTTTCTGAAATATTTTAAACATTAAACATGTAAATTAGTAATTTTTCGAAATATTTTAAAATATTAAAATATATCCATAAATTGGAAATATCAGCAAAATTTGTCATTTATAAGCAAGTTAAAATGCAAATTAGTATGATATTGATTATTCAGGCAATTAATTATTCAGTTAATCAATTATGCTATACAATTATTTAATTATCAAAAGTAATTCGAATCAAAAAATATTATTAATCATCCGTTTGATTGTTATCGAGTGTTTGATTTATAGATCTGTAAAATTTTTTCATAAAAAAAAAAGATAAATTAACTTGATTTTGTCAAATAACGGTAGCATTAATTTACCTTGTTGTTGCTTCGTTACTTTGTCGTTAACTTCTTCCACAATATCACGTAATTCTTCACGCAGCGATACGTGATCTTTTCCAACTTTATCATATTTTTCACGTATCGCTTTCATATATGCTTCTTTCAAATCATTTTTTACAATCGTCTTCATTCCAAACAGTATGCATTTCAATTTTTCACACATATTACATTCGTCATTTTCCATTATAAAGAAACGTACACGCATGCAAGTATTTACGACTAAATAAAATTTTTTATTTAAAAATAGAAAAAAGTTTTAAAAATCTATGGTTTGAAAATAATGTAACTGCTAAATACCTTTAGTGTAAAATTTTATCGAAACTCACATTTTCAATTACCATATCACACATTACACTTTCATACCATATGATCGATTATTAAAAAACTTTTGAATTTTTAGGACATTCCAAAAAAAATCTTTGATAAAATTAAATTAATAAAATGTAAGGATAAGAAAAGATTAGAAATGAGAAAATGAACTTTTTAAAAGATTTTCAATTTGTTCGACGCTGAGTGGTACACTTTGCGCACGTCGAATTTTGTGCAATTCTTCGGCATACAATGAAGCGGCGTTACGTAAAATGTCATCCTGCTGTAAGTCATCCAAAATTACGCTTATTTCTGCTACTCCCGGAATCTCCTCACCTTCCAGTAAATATTCCAACCGTTTTAGAGCTTCAGTATCTAAAAATTTTCTCTTATTTTCTCATTGATTTATTTTGCATACGGAATAATCTACGTTAAATGTAGTAAGAAAACTAACCGCGTGTTAAGTAAATTATCGCGTTGCATAATATGACGTGTTTTGTTGCAGGTAATAAACAGATAATTGGTTTTGTTTACAAATTAAATTACCTAGAGCTGATCTATTGACAAAATAGTCGTTATGTCCAGAGAAGAGGATGGATGGAAAAGAGTTCGGAAGAAGGAGAGAAAAAGGAAGAGATGAAAGAGAGAATTACTAATTGCCACTGTTGTTCGGAGTTGACTTCTGCAGTTTCATTTTTCTTCACCTATAACCCAGGGATTAGGAAGATGTTTTGTTTCAATAAACAAAGGGAAAGAAAGAGATGTTAGTATAAATGTACTGCCATCCGCTTTCTCCCAGTAAATATTTTACTCTAAATTTAGATAATCCCATCAAATGAATAATTGAATCTATTATAAGGTCTATGAAAATTCAGATTCGGAAGACCATCAATTATAGATTAAAATTCTGAAATTAAAAACATAATCTACGATCTGGTACAATACTACGCTTATCTCTAACATATTATTGTTTATAACACAAATTTAAGTTGGAATTATGTATAAATTTTTGTTTATAAGTTTTGTGCAAAAAGGCTGTCAAAAGCTTGAAAGCATTATTATCAATTAGCAAATTGAAAATTAATACCATTTCATATACTTTCTATCCATTTTTCTACAGTGCATTTCATAATTTAGGAAAAAAAGAAATTTTCTTTCCCATTTTCTTTCCCAATACCCGCTAAGCGTACGATTGGTTTCGGTGATTACTGATTGAATTTGTTCACAATTTAGAAATTCATTTGTATGCAAAGTTTTCCTTCGATCCCGAAGCCTCTCTTGATATCCGTCAATAAATATATCATTTACATATGAAATACTTCTATTAGGACATCTCAAACATTTCAGTAAGGCATCCTAAAAACAATGCAAAGTAAAATTAATTAGGTAAATAAAATAAAAATGATTGTCTAAAAATAGTATAAAATAAGAATAAAAAATCAAATAAAAACTAAAAATCATTACCCAAAAGTATAATTAAAAAATATTGAAAATGAAAATATTTAGTAAGTAAATTTGGTAAAATATGATACGATTTGAACGATGATATTATCATTTAAATATAATATTTCCCAGTTAAATATAATGTTGTTTTCTCATAATATCCTTCTTATAATCCTCTCTTTTTTATCATTTCACTAATATTTAATCCGTATTATACGTTGCGTTTTTTCTACGGCTAATATCATTTTTATTTGGCGCAAAAAATGTTTGTTATTTCTTGCCTTATCATCAATACTATTGTTTAATTATACTACTGCCCTCATGTGTGAATTCAAATTATCAGGTACCATCGCTAAAATTTCGTCAATGTTGCCAAATAATGATACATCGCTACTTTTCAACCTTCACGTACGTCACTCAATATTGTTTCTGCAAAATAAAACATTTATTGAAAAGAAAAAACGAAAAATTAAAAAGTTGGTTTTAATCAAAAAACTTGATATTAAATCGATGAATAACTTATAGAAGTCACCAAAATATGCATTAAAATTTAAGTATAATACTTTCGATAACACTGATGTAATAATGACAGCTAAAGTATTCATGTAAAATTTCAGCTATCTTAACGTAATTACTCGAAATTTCAATCCACCATTATTTTAGTCTCTTTTAATTCAAATTACAGGAGTGTTCAAAATTTTTTCAAAATGTTTCCTAAAAAAAAGTTTTAAGCATTTTTAAAAATTTCTTCTTCATCGATAACAATCTAGGAAAAACGATAATTCAAACTCAAGTAGCAAATGAAGTTGACTATTAGCATGAAAAAAAAAGCAGTGAAATATTGTCGGTACAATGATCAGTTCTAAATCTTTTTGATAAGAAGTTATAAATTGTATTTCTTACTTTTGATGTCACCTTAAAAAGAGAAAATACACAGACCATTATGGAAGCTATGTAACATTGCGATTATTTAATACAGACAATTTGATAAGTACCAAAATTAAATTTGATAAAATATCATGAAAATTAAGTGACTGTAATTATTTTAAATAAATTAGAATAAATTACACATTTATTCAAATATATTGAATAAAAATTTCATATTTTATTTCACATTTTGTGATACATGTTTCAAAATTTTGAATGCGAAAGATTTACGTGAGAAGTGAATGTTCTCTCCACGTCGAATAGATGGTCCACAACGTGTGCGACGTAAATATTTGGCAAGTGCAAATAAGCAAAATATTGTTTTTATATTACGACCTTCGTAAATGTCTACAGTATCCGGAATTAAAACCTGAAAGATAAAAAATTGCTACCATCAGACAATGAACCAAAGTGATAGTCAGATAGTAGCTGAATGAATGTGCTAACAATTTTTTATACAATCATATGAAAATATTTACGGTGCGCTATGCTATCATGATTCAGTAAAATAAAGCAAAAATTTCATGTCTGAATCAAAAAAAAGAAAAAAATGATAGCAATCAAACCTCGGGAAAATGAATGTTTCTTATCGCATCTTTCCATAAATAAACTAATGTTATCAGTATGACGATAACACACTTGACTATCCTTATAGAAACGATTCTAAAATGGAAATTCTACTCTGAGGTAATACTAAAATATAATCGAATATTATGCATTGTTATGAAAAAAAGAAGATAAATTAATCGATAAATTGTATACTTAATTATTAGAGAGTTATTGTTTAATCATTACCTGATCAATGTCAAAAATTTTTGATAATGGCACAACATGTGGCGCAAATGAATGAGCAAGCCGAGCTAGCAATACACCATATATTGGACAAATTCCGCTCAAGTTCCCTTTCTTTTGCAATATCATCCAAGTGAAGGTATTCCCTCAACCAACTGTAATATATTGAAATTTATGATAATTTAAAATTATTCAGGGTGATTAAGAATTAATTAAAGAGGTAAATAAAAAAGAAGTTTGAAATTATTTCGCCATCTGTAGTATACAAAATAATGAAAAATCATTCGGATTACCTTATAATTTTATACAAATTAGCTGCACCCTGATTTTTCATACTAAATATTGCTAATTTTAAAATCACCCAATCGAATTTTTCAAAAATATGTTAATCTTTGAATAGAATATGAAAAATTACAGCATTTATCAGTGATGCATCACTTTTAATTAATTAATTAATTGGCAATTCAAATCAGGTATTCTTAACTAAATGGTTAATATCCTCGAAAACAACCCTTTTTCATCCTTCAAATTTATCAATTTGACAAATGTCATCGAAATTTCAAATTTATCTCAATCATTCTTTGTTTTTTATTCGACTGAAGATTTGTCTTAAATTTTTGTAAAAATTATCGAAAGAAAAATGTCTTACTTTCTTACTTCAGTTAATCGCAACAAATATTCATATACTCTTTCATTCTCTCGTTTTTCATCCAATTCTTCAATAGTATGTGACGAATTGATATCTATCGGTTCGATATGTGATGGACTTATTTTATCAGTAAAATGATAAAGTTGTATAGTGCTGTTGTTGTTTGATAATTGTGGAGTTTCTGCTGATGCTGGGTGAAATTGATTATTATTAGCAATTTTATAGATGCTTTCATCATCCGTTGAAGATGGGGAAATCGATAATGTAACGTTATTGTTGCCTTCACTGTAGTTCAGCTGAATTATCTTCCGCTTAGTAATGGTAGAAGCGGCAGTTGTCGCAGTTGTTGTCGTTGTTGTTGTTGTTATTGTTGCTGCGGTAATCATAGGACTGTCAATAATTTCATCTATTTAACTGAACGAATTGCTAAAGTAATTACAGTAAATTGAGAATTAATAAGTTAAATATAATTGGTATGTAAATTAACATCACTAAGGTAACAAATTGCACCAAATTATGAATTGTTAAAATTGACAACGAATTCTTGACATTTTCATATTTCTTTTTTCGTTGCTTAGAGAAGTTGATAATTTACAATAACATCCTTATCCAATTTGCAAAAAAAAGATTAAATTCTCTTTTTTGGGAATGAAATTGTTTGAAAAGAAAAAAATTATTTAAAATTTATTTTTATCAATAATTACACATTAATAGACATCTCAAACTCCTCCATTTCTTATTTTATAATCGGGATTTGTTCGGGATTTATTCTCTCTATCGCAAGACAAGAAATTATTCACATTCCATGTCATTATTTATTCAAAATCTCTATCATATCTGTCAACTTTTCCCATATTACCGATTTTGAAATAATTCATAAAATAAAAAATTTTTGAAAACTTACAAATAAAAATAAAAAACACAAATTAATGATAGAAAAGAAATACCACGAATATGCATATTTTTTATAAAATTGTAGAAAAGAAATATTAGAGAAAAGTAAAATGAAAAAGCAAAAAGTCGAAAAGTTGACAAAGAAGGAATGAAACAAAAAAGAATGAAGCGAAATTTTTTTGAATGTGAATAAAAAAAGAAAGAAATAATCATTCATTTTTAAAAGAAAAAAGAAATAATGGATGGAAAGCTATGTTAAACTGCAAATGAAATGATAACATTATCATTGATAATGCATGAATTATGAACGTAACACTTTAACCAATCGAATTGCTCCATTTCCTTCCTTTGTTCAAACAATGATTAAAAGAATTAAAAGAAATGGAAATGAACAAATCATGAAGAAGCTATCGTACGGTATGACACATTTACTCGTCTAATTTGCTAATCCATCCATGCTACCTCTATTCAGCAAACATTGTCGATAATTAAACAAATCAATTCATGTTTTATTTACATTTTTTCATCTTTCCTTTTCCATCTTCTTCCTTTTCCTCTCCTCGTCCATCTTTCATCATCGTCATCCTATCACAGTTTTCATATTATTGCTTTTTATATTTATGCGGCATCATTTCTCTTTCTCATTCCTTTTTTACTTTTTCATCATCTTTCCTTCATTTTGTGTCAATTTTTTTCATTCATTTTTATCCTTTATTTAACTTATTTAGACATTCATCGCCCAATTCATAGCATAATTTTCATTAAAAATAAATAGCAAATGTGACCGAAAAGTGTAATAATACTTATAATGGTCACATATGTATTAATTATATCATCACCTTTTTTTCTTGTCATTGTAATTTAATCTCATTTAATAATAACAACTTTGTTAGCCATCGTATTAGTAATCAATTTATTGATTCATTCATTACTTATTTTTTGACTTGTTTTTTCAAATCAGTTCTTTATTCATTTATTCACCCTCTTTTGTTATAAATTAATATGCTTGTTTGAAAGCATTCATTGCTCCAGATAATTTTGCTTCGGTTGGTGTCTCAAATCTTCTCTTTCATTTTTAGTTGTCAATTTCGAGTATTTTTCACATAGTAATCAAATTTTTAGTTGTTAATTTTGAACATTTCATGAAATGACCAAAAGTTTCAAGCCAAAATTTGAATGTTTTATTTTTTTATCATATTTTTTGGTATTTTTTTGATACATTCAAAATAATTTGAGACAAGAAATACTTTTTTAAAGTTATATTACCAGTGGAAACTTTTCCGTGGCTATTATAAAACCTTTCTACTTCATTGATTATTCGAACTTCGTGTCATCCTATTTCTTCTTCATCTTCTTTGTAGCACTCAAAAAACTTTACTCAATCTTACTCTTTTCCTTTTTTATTTATGTAAAATTTCAACTAAATATTGAATGTTGAATGGATGGAAAATGCTGAAATACATTCGTCTATTTTCCTCGTCATTCCTCATTCTTTATTATCCTTATTATAAATTATTACAAATTCAATTTCTTATTTTTTCATTTTTTATGATTTCTTATCCTTTATTATTTCTTGTTCCTTACTTTTATCATACATTATTCCTTCATCATATCATTCTTCATTCCACATTAGTATTATTATCATCCTTGAGAATAAAAAAATGTAATATTTGAGCTTTATTTAATACATCAATAATTTACATAATAAAATCTGTCATTTTGTCAGTAATTAGTCGATATAAATAAGCAATACTAGCATATAACCATAGCAACGTTTAGAAAATATTTCAAATAGATGAAATGATACATTTGCAAAAAAATACAGCTGATATTATACAAATTCTTAAAATTTTTTATCATTTTACATTTCCTAAGTTAATGTAAACAGTTGACAATAAAATGCATCAAATTTCTTTGATCTTTTTTCAAAACATTCATTCCATCCAAAATTTCCTAATAATTTTAAATACGTCAAAGTAAAAATTATTGGAACATTGTAATTCAGACGAATGTTAAAAAAGCATGAGCAAAAAATAAAAATAAATGAAAGGACTAATAACAATTTCATCGATCGCTTATCACTTTCTTTGTTAGTGAATTATTTAAGTTTCATTTCGAATACATTAATTTATTGATTAGCAAATTATTGGATTTGAACATCAGCAATAATTATTTTCTTTCCTGAAAAATATACATTAAGTATCAAAAAAAGTAGACCGCTCCATATTTACATCTTAAACATGCAAAAAATTTAAGTTAACCTGTGTAGACATAATCATTTGTTGATCGGAACAAATTACACTACATATCCTAATCCAGCAACAGTCACATCATTTCGCAGGTTGGGTCAAGGGTTAAAAAATTCACACCATTAACGGAGTAATTAGTCACCAGTTTCTTGCTTAACCCGAATTATCCCTTTCCGCTCACTCCTCTCCCGGGTCAATCTTCAATACATTTGAGTTGTTTTGTATGTTTAACATCATCTGATGATATTAATATTCCGAGTTTTTTATCAGACTTAATACTTAAAACTTTCACCTTTCAAGGCACAAATATAAAATACTTATTCGTACGTGCATACATAAACATAAACATGCATATGTCTTCAAAGAAATGCATGTTCATGTATGCATATGCTTTAATTATCAGATATAGCTGTGCCAACGGCTATGCATGCATGCTTTGTGCGTACTCGTCCGTGTCTGTGTGTACGTGTGTGTGCGTGAGTGAGTATGTATGTGAATGTGTGTATGCACTATATATATATATATATATATACACGACGTACACAAACCTACGCGTCAGTGTCGAGAACGACGAATATTTCCATGTGTCTGTCTGTCTGTCTGTATGCGTGCATATGTCTCTGTCTGCATGTGTGCATATGTTTTCTTACGTCACTTTGATATATGGTTTCCATCACTGCAGACCTATTCTACTCCTGTTGTCGCTTCACGGGCTAAGTGAAGTATGTAACCAACTGACGCCTCCACATCCATCCCGATGACTTTAACCTTCGCGAATCGTTAGCTTATCGTTGGAAATAGTTTATAAAGGAAAGGCGAGAGGTGTTGTTCTTCTTATGTCGTTCTTTAAAGGCAGAGATGTAGGCAGTGGTGAGAGATAAATGTGTACATTATAACTGTGAAGTAATTGGACTAGGAAAAATAAATTAAGGTAAGTGATTTTTCGTTCTTTGATAAATTTTGTATTTTATTTCTTTCACTGCTTAAGTATTTTTTCAGTCAGTTTTCCGAATTTTTTATTTGTTGCTATTTCAATTTTTCCAATAATTTTTTACTTCTCAACACTCTAGCGTTTTCTTTCTAATCTTGTTTCTCGTCTCATTTCTCGTCCCAGTGCTGTTCGATGTAATTTCGGCTAATCTTACCGCAACATTTTTGAAAATATTTTAGTACTTTTCGCTGTAGTATTTTTGATTATGTTTTTGTTTTAGTATCATAATAAATCTAAATATCTTAATATTTTCTGTTTTGATTTCATTTTTCAGCAGAATAACAAAAATTCTCCGGTATTTTATTTCCAGTTATCATTATTATTTTTCATCATGGTATTATTTTTTATTATCTTACTGCTTTTCGGTATTTATTCCGGCCTTTCAAGAAATAGAATTTTAAAATCGATATTCTTTAATTCATTATTTAATTTTCGATTATCCCTTCAATTTAAATTGTTTTAAAAGGCATTGTTGTTGGCGGCACTTTTCATAATATGCATAATTCATAAAGAATAACGATGATTTACGATACAATAAATGTTATTTAATCATAAGAAAATGAAAGGACAAAGTTGACCAAGTAATTACATTATTAATTACTCTGGCATTGAATTCGAAATGAAATAGAATGTGGCTTGGAGTTGGAGTGAATCACCACTGTTTTTTCCTTTCTTCCTTTCTTTCTCTACCCTTTTTTCTTTCTTATTTATTGGTTACTTAATCTTTGATTTTAACAGCCTTTAATAGACTAAAGATATGAAAATTTTATATCCAGTAAACAGTGCCAAAAATTATATTTAACTTTAGCAATGTTTGACTGCTAAAGAGTTCAATCTTGTATTTTTCACCTTTTTAAAATAAATGAATCATTTATAAATGTTGGAAATTAAAAAAAGATTTTCTATTTTTCATGCACTTTTTTTCTGCATAGTACTATTTCTGTTACATTATACTTGCAAAGACTGAGTCATTAAATTAGGAATCTTATTTTGACTCACCGAGAATTAGGCGATTGCATTTTTGAATATCCAGAATTCACGCTTGTGTGTATATAATTTGTGAATTTTTCGGTATTTCACAATTAATTCTCTCCGAAATTCATTCTTGTATGCATTTTGTAAATTTTCCGATAAATAACTGGAATCACTGTTATATGCGATTTGTGATTTCTTACTATCCCTGCATCCCTAGAATTTAGTCCTACATACCAGTTATAAAATTAATTTTCCTCATTGATTCCAAATTATAAAATTAATTTTTCTCATTGATTCGTAAGATCCAGAAAAGTTGAAGTATTATGAGTCGAAATGGATGCTCCATGTAACGGAACTAAAAATTTTCTAATTAAGATTAAACAACCTCGTGGTACCATGCTGTTCGTATTGTAACAATCTGTTTATGATATGGTACCAATCTAATGATTCTATGATATCATTCTTTTCACATCTGTGCTGATCTGTTTAGAAATTCAAGTCATTATTTCGGGTGTGGAACAATTACAACTGTTCCGTTATTGAAATAACGTGATGGTATCATGGCATAGCAAAATATTTTTTGCTGCTAATCGAGTAATACTACGGCGTTTGCTAATCATTGGTGGTGGTAGTGTAGTGGCTACGACAGCATTTTCATTACTAAAAATTGATTTAAATGGTTCAGCTCGTTTTCGTACAGTCTTGGTGAATTATTTTTTTAAAGAAAAATTTTCACTATTTGTTGAAAATGTAATTTTAAATAAATCCTTTTTTCTTCAATAATTTTTCTAAAAAGTCAACTTTTATCCACCCTTTTTAATGATTTGTTAATGTTCCGATAATAATTGGCATTTCGTACTTATTTAATCCATATCCTCAAAATTTTTTCACACAAATATCCATTGTAGGCTGATAATGGAGATATCCACATCCAACTTAACAAACGACTTTCCGGACAATTGCCTACGCGAAAAGATTTAATTAATGTATGTTTCACGTCGTTAACGCATTAAACTGGGCTAAAATGCAGTGGATTTTTCTGAAGAGAAAATCTCATTAATTTTCAAAAATTTTATTCTTTTTTTGATTTTTTAGTGGTATTGTTTATTGTTAATGTTATATATGCGAAATTACATTGTGATCGGATGATATTCACAGATTTCGAACTCATTATTATTTTATTGAATCATTTGATTTATTATTATTTTATTGAAATCATATAGTACTGAAAATATCCATAATTTTATTATTTAGTCACTCAAAAATAACAAATTTGATGTCCTAGTAATTGGAGGTGGTGCTACGGGTGCTGGCGTTGCTTTGGATGCACAAACGCGAGGTACAAATAAATAAATATATAAGTAGGTAAATGAAATAAATGAAGAATAAAACTAAACTTATTTTGTTCTTTTTTGAAAAAAGAGGTTTATGGGGAAAATTTGTTCTCTTTTTTGATGGAGAAAGCATTTAAATGTTCTTAACTACTATATGACCCAATGACTATCATCCCGTTTGAATATAATGGAATAGTTGAAAATTACAAAGAAGTGATATGATAGGTTAGGTTAACACTGGTTTGTTCTATTTTTAATTTTATATGATTCACCACCATTTTACTTATTTATTCATTTTTGAGATTGCATTGTGATGAATATAATTTAGCTGGTAATACAAGGATAGAGGTGTCATTTAGGATAAGAACGAAGAGGCTTTCAGTTTTAGAAAAAGGTTTCCTGCTATAGCAGTCATACTGTTGCATTTCATTTAAAATTTACTTTTAAATTCTTGTTTTTGCGCGAAAAAGCACGTTTTATAAAAAAACCAGAAGTTTTTTATCCAAATATCATAAGGAGGCAATTAAGAGAAGTTTAAAAAAGCATTGGGAAGTTGCAGGTCTTAAAACAGCCCTAGTTGAATTGGATGATTTCTCCAGTGGTACAAGTTCACGAAGTACAAAATTGATACATGGTGGTGTGCGTTATCTCCAAGCAGCAATATTTGGTTTGGATATTGAGCAATATCGAATGGTTAAGGAAGCTTTGTTCGAGCGTGCCAATCTCATTCATTGTGCGCCTCATCTGTCATATCCATTACCGATTATGTTACCTATTTATAAGTAATTTTTCGATGGAAATTTCACTTAGTCATTTAATATGGATGCATATTTAACAGTTATGCGAGATAGAAAACTGATTGGGATGACAAAAAAAATGAGGTTGCATATTAATCTCTAAAACTTGTAGTTGAATTTTGATTATCAGATTATCTAGAGGGTCTAAGGAATCTCAAAAAATATTATAAGAAAAAGAAGAGTACCTGTAGCACTAATTGTCAAATATGAATTTCTTCCAGTTCATATGTTATAAATATCGTGTATAATCACTTTATCGATCAGATTTTTAGTTAAGCAGCACTCGGTGAAATAAGGAAACTATGAAATATTTTTAGTAACTAACCGCATAATCTTATAATATTTTATGGACTATATATTATAGAATATGGCAAGTACCATACTATTGGTTCGGTATAAAGGCATATGATGTTGTTTCCGGTGGACGAGTGCTAAAAAAGTCTTATTACATAAGTAAGACACAAGCACTGGAACTTTTTCCGATGTTGAAAAAAGAGTCATTAGTTGGTGCTTTAATGTATTATGACGGTTAGTTAGTTAAACATTCGATTTCAAATAATTTTTCGGAAATTTCATTCTTTTTTGAAAAAAAGTTTGTAGCTGAATATATTTAATTGCCTGTTGAGTTAATAAATTTGAAATTTTTATCATGAATCTTGCGAATATTATGTAAATGATATAACATCTAAGGGTTTTTATTTAGAGCTTGAATTTTTACTTCGGAAATTAATAAAATTTTATCATTTTAGGTCAACATAATGATTCTCGGATGAATATTGCAATAATTTTATCTGCAATACGTCACGGCGCAAAAGCCGTAAATCATGTTAAAGTTAGCAAATTGCTGAAAAATGCAGAGGGTATGGTATGCGGTGCTCATGTTGTTGATACTGTAAGTTAAGTAATGTACATTTGTCTAACCAAAACTTCTTGATCTGAATTAGTATAAAGTGAAGTTCTCAACTCAATGTTAATGATGCAAGTCAACCGGGAAATATCAGTGTCAAATAAATCTTTACAGAAGAATCATCTCTTGGGTTTTTTAACTTTATACTTTTTCCGACATTGTGTGCAGGTGTGTTATAGTTGATTGTTATATTAGGAAAAAAGATGATACAGATGAATTTTCAATAATCAGCGAAGTTTGATTACCATTTTCATCTTCAGATAACTGGTGAGGAGTGGGACATAGAGGCTAAAGCTGTAGTAAATGCTACGGGTCCTTTCACTGATTCAATTCGTTTAATGGCTGATCCGGACACTGCACCAATTTGTCAACCATCAGCTGGTGTTCATATTGTGCTTCCCGGATATTACAGGTTAGCCGGCTTTGAAATGTTACAAATCAGTTATTTAGTCACTTTTTGCAAGATTCATTATTGTTAATTGTTTCAGTAAAAATTTCTTAATTATCAGTAATTTTATTTGTTTGTATGTTATTGTGACCAATGTTGCTTCAAACTGTTATGTATTGCTTGATGATTTAAATGACGCTTTACCAGTAAATTTTAGTCCATCATCAACGGGTTTGCTTGATCCTTCGACGAGTGATGGCCGCGTGATATTCTTTCTTCCGTGGCAGCGTATGACCGTAGCAGGAACAACAGATGCACCAGTACCGCTTACTTTTCATCCGTCCCCAAGTGACGTTGATATTGAATTCATTCTTCGGGAAATAAGGAATTATCTTTCAAATGACGTTAGCGGTGCGAATTTTTTAGAGTTTTCGCCAAATTACACTTTTTTAAATTTTCGAATTCCAACTAAATTTTACTAATTTGACAAATTCTTAGTTGAAGAAATATCTGAAGTGTGATTTCAGTTCGCAGAGGTGATGTAATGAGTGCGTGGTCAGGTTTGAGACCGTTGGTAAGAGATCCTAATAAAAAAGATACGAAATCTTTGGCACGCAACCACATTATTGAAGTTTCAAAAAGTGGACTGGTGACAATTGCAGGTTTGAAATCCCTTATCATTAATATCTTTATAGTAACTGCACATATTTTCAAATTGATTGTACTGAAAATCATATTAGAATCTTATCTTTGTCACTATTTCTTGAAAGGTAGCACTCTTTTATCAAGTGGTTTCATTTTTTTCTTGGCAAATCTTAGATTAACAAAATTTAAATTCGGCTTATTTAGTCAACTTATATTCTAGGCGGAAAATGGACAACATACAGACATATGGCTGAAGAAACAATGGACAAAGTGGTTGAAGTTGCAAATTTACAACCATTGCGAAAATGTGTCACAGCTGGATTACTACTTGAAGGAGCACATAACTGGGATCCACTACTACATATCCGTTTAGTGCAGGATTATGGTCTGGACGAGGACGTACATTTTTTCAGAAGCTTTTGTTCTTTTTTAGTTTCGCAATATTTAATGCTCGGAAGGAATAAGAGTAAAAATTTCTCGAAAATTTTGATTTGATCACTTTTCTGAAACTAGATTTCAGGTTGCACGACATTTGGCTTCAACTTATGGTGATAAGGCATTCGCAGTTGCCAGGATGTCGAAGATAACAGGAAAACGGTGGCCAATCATTGGACATCGATTGCATTCAGAGTTCCCTTATATTGAAGCTGAGGTTTTTCGTTCTAAAATTTCTTCTTACAGTATCAAGATTGTCCTACTATTTGTACTGTACAGTCTCTCTAAGCAAAAAACTCTTCACAGATACTGTCAGATACTGTCAACTGCGAGCTTCCTACAATGTCAACCATTAAACGACTTTGTTTGATTAACTAGCTGGATATACTTGGTGATTTTTTTCCTTCAAGTTTTATTGTACTTTAATTCTCTAACCAAATAACTATTAACACCTGGAGAAGAGATGCACTATTTCAGGTAAAATATGCGGTGAAAGAATATGCTTGTACTGCTGTTGATGTAATTGCGCGTCGTTTACGTCTGGCATTTCTGAATACATATGCAGCTTATGAAGTGCTTGATAAGGTTGTAGATATTATGGGTAAAGAATTGAATTGGTCAACAACAGAGAAGAAGGTATGCATTCCTTTGACAATGAACTATTTAGTAAATAAAAATCACATATATTAAAATATGTAATAACATAGTGCTCTTTCAGTGCTTATATTTATAGCTCTTTGATAAAATAAAAGTACTAAATTTTTTTAATAGCCAAAAAATCGTTAAATATAACGTACGGAGGATTTGACATGTTGTCTGAAATTAGTGAATGCATTGGGCAGATTAAGTGCGGAGTTTATTTTACAATACTATTTTATATCATTTCATGCATATCTCATATGAGGGTTATTTCAGAAACAGTTGAATATGGCTCGGGAATTTATTGAGGTAGAAATGGGTCAGAATGCTCGCGACCATTCACTTTCTTCGGTGCCAATCAGTTTAACAACAGAAGAAATGCAAGCAGCTCGAGAACGCTTCAAAACATTAGATAAGGAAAACAAAGGACACATAACGCTGAATGATCTTAGACGTCACTTCCAGGTAATAGATAACGTTAGATAACGTCCCAGCTTGCCTTTAAACCATTTATGATACTGTTTAGGACAATTTAGTGCGCTTGAAAAACCAAAATTATGGATGTGATTTTATAAAGTTGATTTTAAATTAGCATCCATTAATGTTGTGGAAACAGTGTTAAATTTCCTTGAATTCTTTCCATTCTTTAAACCGAGTTTTTTTCTCCACAGAAACATGACAGTAAAATAGATGAAAGTCTGCTTCATGAGTTACTCAATGAAGTTGATCTGAATAAAAATGGAGAAATTGATCTCAACGAATTTTTTCAAGTAAGCTCATTTCAATTTGTTTATATAATTTTAACCCTTAATTGCACAATATATTCTCCTTATAGTCATGTTTCATATTTATTTATTCATTTAAAGTTAATTATTCACTTAGCAACTTCAGTCGACAGTAATTCACTTGGTGAGGGAAGGAAGGAGATAATTTTTGTTGAGAAAAATATGCTTGTTATATTGTTGTCATCATTTCAGTTATATAGTGGACTGAAAGGTGGACAAATAGCACAGAATCGACTGGCACGATATTTGGATGAATTCGATCCAATGCCAGTGTCAGTCTTACGCTCAGGGGGCGGAATTTAACATTAATATTTTTTCACTTTTAAAATTATCTAAATAACTCTATTTTTAGAATATTTTTTATGATATGGGAGAATTTTTTATTTTAAGTGCTTGGTTTCATATTTTAATTTTCAGTACCTGTTTTGTTCGTTTTGGAAATACATCCTATATTGTCTCAGTGTTTTCTTTTTTCGAACTTTGTTTTTTTCGTTTTGCATATGATGCCTGATAGTTTTATAAATAAGCTGTTCACAAAGCAGAAATATTTACGAATTTACGACTCGTGGCAAATTTTTTATTGTACCTCTAATCTGTCTTTATTTTTCGTGGCAGTTACATTATGCTCACGTTATCTAACCTATAATTCTTTTTTTCATTTACATATTTTTTCTTTAATTTTTAAATGCTTTATGTTGTGAATAAATTTGTTTGTGGAACGTTTTGCAAAAACGTTTCATAAACATACGTAGTAATTAATTCTTTAATACTCTGTTATTTTTTTTAATACTCTGTTATTTTCTTATGTTATTTTCGCTGATGTAATTTTCTTTCAGCTTTTTTTCTTTGATGTTTTACTGTTTTATTACTTCATCTTTTCCTGTTTGAATTGCCTCATTACATTAGCATCTCTTCTCGTGATTGTTGCTGCAGTATTTTACTTTTACTTTATTTTGCAAAATTGTTAGTTTGTTGTCTTAGAATCGTATGTCACCATAGTAGGCATGTATTTCTTTTGTTTTCCTTTTATCAGTCAGTAGCACCTTAGGTGCAATGAAGTCATGAACTAATTGATGAAATTTTGTTGCCCAAAATTTTTTTTTGACAGGATGCTTATCCCATCCCACAAAAGCGGCACCTATAGTCACAAAAGTCCCCATGGGTACTTTTCAACTTTTATATCCTCTTCGTCAGACAATTAATTACTGTTGTAAGCAGTTATACACCTTACTCGAAATTGTGTCGAGTTATACCGGAAAAGTTTACTATCTTCTATGCATGCATGCTTAGATGAGCAGCTTATTTGGAAATTTATATAATTTGGAAAGCTATTCGAAAAACATTTCAGATTACGAGCAAGAAGCATGGCACAAAACTAAAATAGCAGTTCATGAATCCTTCAAAGAATTGCTAATATTTACTAATTCATATTTCGAAACTGTCATGGATGCTTTCTACTCATATTTTATTTCATTTCGAAATTTTGCAAAAGACCTCCTGTATATGTCATCCAAATGCATAACTTAAAATCAGCAATCCAATATAAGTCTTTCTGCAGAATTCTCGCAGGTTGCTTTATCAATATTATTTACTCTTAATTGCTAATACTAGCTACATTAATCGATAACGGTTGAGTGATGTTGTGAGGCCGGGAACATCAAAGATTATCACACTGTCGTGAGATAATATGCATTATTTTCTCTGCTCATATTATTAAACAACCAAACGAATATAATAAAAGCAATTGCTTATTAACATAACGATATGAGTACACAAAAGGAAGCACAACTGTTAGATTACCTTCATTGAAATAAACTTAGGATGAAAAATTGCTAATACACACATGAGAAACTTCCTTCCGAACTTTAATTTCGTTCCCTATAATTAACATAAATAAGGAAACTGAAATAATCTCATCGAAATTTATCTATTTATATTAAATGTCCATACCATCATAAAACTAAACACTTTTATTTCATTTATTCGGGGCGCATTATTCCGAGCAAAACAAAACAAAAACAAAAAAGTATATATAAATATATGCATTTACATATTTATATTTGTATACAGTACTATGTCACAGGAAGAAGCAAGATATTAATGAAAGGAAACATGTAAAATGGCGTAATAATACAGAAACATGTTAACTTGAATTATTCAACTATATTTCAAAAACTACAAAATTCCTGCAAAAGATGACGATACTGATCATATAATCTAGGAGGTCTCTTTCTTTTAGGATAACATTCAAATGAGGATATATACTAACCATACATAAACACTCCTCTTTCATTTATCATTTTTGATAAGTGAAAGAGAATGCTCAAAAAAGACAAATATCGAATACTCTCTACCGTCTCATTTGATGAGATCGGTATGTAAATGGCTCATGATAAATAAGCAAGCAATTTGCAATATAGAAATATCGATGAATATAATAATTGAAACATTTCGAAAAGTAAATTCATCGGACATCACTTCCCTCCTTCTCTTCATCTTTCGTTCAGAACCTGAACCTTATGCTAAAGAGAAATTTTTGGTGGAATGAAAACATAAGATGTGAAGAACACCGACCATGCAATAACTTACGGTACTCTCACACCGGCATCAAAATCTATTCTGTTGTTACTTCTCACATTTTAAATTTTAAATAGCAAAATCATCACTAAAAACGAAATTAACAGAAATGTATCGTAAACGTAAATTTTGAAAAATCTTTTATGAGAGAAATAAACAGGTACCATTGCATCAAAAGAAATTGTCAAGAATTTGAAACTCGGAAATAGCAACGAATAAACTGCATGAGTCGAAATAACAAATGTTAATTAACGCAGTATGAAGTTTTGTTTCAAATGTCCTATGAGGAAGCGCAATAACAATTATAAAATTAAAATCAAAAAAATTTTTAAAAAACAGAGACAAACAAAATCAGACTTTCGATTCTTTTTTAGCTGGAAAGTGCGAACTAAAGAATATTATGCGGTCTATACGTCATCCTATCACATACTTTCTAACTTTAAACTTTAACCGTCAATTAATAAATATATCAGTTAAGCAAATGATCAAACAGGTGATCACAATCCAACCTATAATCTCCCAACTTAATAGTACAGCAGTTCGTTCGTTTTCAGAAAATTCAGGTTACGCTACAAAGAAACTTTAAAAAAGTTGAAATTGAGTTCCAGATTAAAAATCGACAATTTTTTAATCTCATTTGATGAGATCGAAAAACCAAATCCATGCAATCATTGTTTGGCAAACCGTCTGCAGTCAATCACTGCTTCAATAGGAAAAATAGCGGTATCAAAGAAGATATAAATAAAGTATACATTCTATATACAACATGAAGATTATGATAGACACTATCGTTATTTTAAATTCAAAATTAGATATAAATGTGCGCTAATGAAATATCGTATATATTTCAAATATATCCAAAGCAGTTATTATGAATATAAAAAAATTGAAAAAGAATTAAATTATACATGTGAATGAAAGTGTTTCCATGAAGAAGCTAGAAAGTATGGTCACTGAAAGATAATTTGAATATGAAGGAATAAAGGATCAGATTCGAAGAATGAGGCAGACGAATAGGTTTGAAGATTTTCAAAGTAACTAAGCCAGAAACTTACAAATTAAGAAAATCATTATGATAACAACAACTTACTTTTCCTCCACAATAATAAGTAATGAAACCCGATACAAAGGCGATTGCTAAGATTGCAATTATCATGCACGAATTTTCAAAAGAAAAGGAACTTGGAATTGCATAAGTTTTAAAGATTTTTGTTTAACTTTTCTCATCATTCATTTGGAATCGTATTTCAAAGTCCTCTCTTTAACGCTGTGGTCCACATATAACCTCTCTTCTCTCCCTATTACACTAGAGATCTTAATTCAAACTGTTTTTTTTTTAAGTTACAAACAGTTAATTCGCTTTTTTCTTTAAACTAATCAAAAACGAAATTTTTCAAAACTTGGTCCCATCATACAGATCAAAGGAATCAATTGCACTAACGCAGTCACTTGATATGCAGACCCTGAATACATAGATACACACAAGCGAAACAGACAGACAGATACACACCGCAAAATATACTGACATAAATGAATATCGATGGAATAAGTTGGCAGTATAAGCTTTTGATGACATTTGAAGTCGCCACTGAAGAAGTAAAGCAAGAGGGTAAATAGATGAGTTTACATCAGAAAAAGAAAAGAAAATATAATAAGATTCCCGATATCTCCACCAGGATTTTTTTCTTTCTTCTCGTAAAAAGCCTAAGACATTAAAGAATGTTGACATAAAATGGTGTAATAAAATAAAACGTTGCGTTAATAGCATGAGTGTTGCATGAATGGAAGAGCAATCTGATACTGGAAAGTACCGTGCAAAAGGGATTGTTCCTGATAATAATATAAAGGGAGGTGATGCACAAATGATAATAGTGATGGTTATCTTTCCAAATGCATATTGTTCAATGAAGGAGGTGAAAGAGGAGGTGGACGAGGAAAATGCATCTCATCATATACAATTCCCGAATCAGCAAGATTCGGCATGGATGAACAACAAAAAGCCATTACTTCCTTGTTGCTATTACCGTATATCTTCGATGCATCGCGAGGTAGCCGCATAATGCAATCATTTTCAATTGATCCAGCATCGTACCAAGTTCTGAAAGTTACACACGAAACAATTAAAGAGAAGAGCAAAATTCCCGTTTTTCCCTACTTATTTTCCTACAGTTGAAACAGGAAAAAACCTTTCCATAACATTTTAACTTAGTGCGCTGATATCATTAATCAAAAAGATATCTACATACTCGAAAAATAGGAAAATTTACGCTTACAAAGACTGACTGGAAAGAGTGTTGCACGGATAATTTACATAATTAATAGTCGTAATAGGAGCGCTTGTCTTGATATTACGCTTGCCAAAACCGTTCTGCTAAAGTTTCGAACGATCACAGAAAGCATTTGGATGATAAAAATTCGGAAAAATGTCAGAAAATACAAAATTAAATATCTGTTGTCATTTCTTGATAACTTATTACGCTTTCTGCAGCATGAGCAATTTAAAGTCTAGTGATCTCAATTTTGATTTTATATTGATAGAGACCGGCTCACTGTATTAACAGAGAGATTACCAAAAATACTTCTGTACAGAGGTTATGACAAAACACAAGCAATAAATACCTGACAAAGTGACTGTATTGAAGTTGATTGTGGACAAATAATACTGGTATAGGAAGTCGCTTGATCTAGCGATTCTATATGACTTATTGTACTCCGCCGCGTTATATCTGATAAAGCAGCCAATTTCGACACAAAACGTGGCACCGTAATGCCAATATCAAAACTGCTTACTGACATGCGGCCCGTCATTAGGTAACATGTCTTTGCTACCCTTGTTGATGGAGAATCAATTGCCATCCTGAAAAAGAGACTACTGTTGGTCCGTGTAAAAGAACTGTGGACCTAAAAAAGCGATAGTAAGAAGGGACAATATAATATAATCGTATGAATAACGACCAGCTTATTCAATTCAAAAATTTAACCAAGTGTGCATTTTAAACCAAGTAGTTGACTGATTTCCCGAGCTTCATTCAAAGGCTCGGAAATATGAATTACTTAGGGAATCGAAGAATGATTAAACCGCATCCAGAAATGACTATTTTCTTACAATCGTTTCTTAGACGGCAAACTTCCAGTCCATGGATTTGAAGTACCGCAAGCTGCTCGCATCCATTTCGAATCTAGCAACTTGTAATTCATTTTCTTTGTCATAATCGCGAACGGCTCATTTCGTCGGTTTATAATCTTCGTCTTCTTTCTGCAAGATATGTGGCTCTGAAAAAATAATACACATGCAATGTAGGCAAAGCCTTTTTGACTCAGTTTGCCCCATTTTATTCTTCTTTTTTCTACTTCTACTCCATTAAAATTCGGTCCAAGGCATTTAACCTCATAAAGACAACAACAACAAGTAAGCATGATGTGACTTCACCTTAAGCAAACCTTGTCTTTGCAGTTCGAAAAAGGCAATACTCCTTAACCAATTGAATTTCAATCCATAAATGGAGCGAAAAATGATAAAGTAAAAAAATAATGCTCCAGCTTCTCCCAAAACAATTCACAATTAACAACGCTTCACTATGAATTGAGCTGCAGAAACGACCGAGCAATCTTAGTGACAGTCCAACGGTAACAAAACACAAATTTATTAGCAAGCAATCTGTCGAAGCATGCATATTAATTTAATATAACATTTACACGCAAATATGTGTGTAAAGTGTAACGAAGAGCAAACCTTAACAAATGATTCCTCTGATAAACCATTAAACAAGAAGCACTCCTTGAATCGATGTTTTTTATCATTCAACAATCTAAAAATAAACTTTTTACAGGAAAACGATGTCAAATAGCTCATCAACTGCGGAAAATACTTTTATTACTGAATTAAATTCCACAGATAGATCATAATTTAAATGAATAACGTAACTTTCGATAAATTATATCATTGTCAGCAAATCAAAACTACTCCATGTCTATTATAGAACAGCAGATATCCAATTATAGAGAGATCGAATTCTTACTCAAATAAGAATCAATTTTTCTTCATAGACACTTCATAGACTCACCTCAGATATTTATCTTGACCACTTGGTAAGGCACCCTGTTCACCTCCTTTTGTATCTAAACATATCACTTCTGCTTCATTTGTTAGGCTGTTTTGTGTGTTCAGCTGATTATGTATCCTTATATCATTTAGTGTATTTCTCATACCACTCCCTTCAGTAGTATCAACCAATTCGCTTCGCCGCCGCATGATCAGTGATTCCATTTCATACTGTACAAAACAAAACAAAACAATCCAATTAAAACAAGCAAGAATCTTTTCCTTCTTCAGCAAATTTAATATTTTAAAATCTCTATTTTTTTGATGAAAGATAAATTAATGCTCTCATTGATGCCTACTTAAAATATCTTTTGTCATTCGGTTTAGTTTAGTAAGTTAAAATAAAAAGCTTTTCTAGAGCCATGGCAGCGAAAGCACCATTTGCGAACAAACATTTCGAAGAGTGCAACTTCACTTAAGTTTCAGACTGCAAAACTGCATTGTTTATTAATATGATAGTCTTAAATTGACGATGATTTCCAGAAATTTTTAGTTCAGGTACATACACAAAAAAGGAAAATAATTCCTCACATTTGTATTATTGCATGATACATTTGATCCTCTATTAGCTACATTAGCATTCATGCCCATTTCAAGCTTACGTCGCTTTAACCTGAAAATACAAAAATATTTAAGATAAAGGACAACATTTCTATATATTTCTGGATTTCTTATCTTTCCTTCGTTCATAACATCGGAATTTTTATTATAGCCTACTTACTGCATTATATTCGGATTTTAATATGAACGCAGATGACTATCAAATTGACCTGGAAGTATGTATTTTAATCGTTTTAAATATCATATTTCAAATTAAGTGAAACCAGCCCAATGAGACATAAATTCTCTTGGAAAATCTCTCATGAAATGGACAGGAAATTTAAGAGAATAACTTATTACCTTAGATGAGCGCAGATGCCACCGAAACACAATGTTAGCAAACCAACTATCAAAACAATCCCAATTAATATTCCTTCCCGACTCGATTTCGGAAAATTTTTCGGTCTTTTAACGTCTATTTTATCAGCTTTACTGGTGTGTGATGGTGCAAACAGATACGGAGAGGAACGCTGTCCTAAATCACCGGTACTCGAACGTGCAGCTACTTGAAAAGTGTACAACATATTGGGTTGTAGTGTTATAACGTAGCTTGCTGCACCAATTCCATCAACTGAAACTTTGTTCATATTTGAAATATTACTTACTATATAATTTCCCAGCAAAGCAATTATACAGGTTATACAGCGATAGCATTTATGCACACATAAAATTATTAAGTGATAACATGATGATAGAGGAAAGAATTTAGACAAAAAAAAGATACCAAGAATATCTTTCATAGATGCCACAGAAGTTGATGACGACTGAACCTGTATCACGTAACCCACAGGCGTACTCCAACGTGGATTTGGATGAATTGGATTCCAAGATACTCGGACAGCTGTGGCATTCAATTCTTCATACATTACCCCAATCGGTGCCGGAATTTGCCCTACTGCAACATGTTACAATTGAAAACTATTTCTATCAATATTTTTTTCTTTTTTTTATACTTCTACTTCTACTCTTGTAACGGATCATACGTAAAGGATTCTCAAATGAAAAGTAAGAAAATAAATTGATTTCATACCAAAATAACTTACGAATAGGAGTAGTACAGTTGAACCAAGAACCTTCAACACCACCAATTTTATTCCTCGGTTCTATCATTACACGATACGTTGTATTCGACCGAAGGCTTGGCAAATCTGCGAATGCTTCATCGCTGCAACTTTGTGAACTTATAGAGAACAGAAATCCCCATCATAAGAACTTCATTAAAAAGATATATTTACATCTGTTTTTTCATCACATTTGTAAAAGCAATCCAATATGTTGAAAAAATAATTTTGCAATCTATAATACTGAATACTAAAATCGAAAATAAACTTACGTAATAACTAATCTGTCATCTTCAGGAAAAATACTGTCACTTAAAGTATAATGCACAACGAATTCATCCGCAGTATGATCGTCTACCGGCCAATCCCATGTTACACGCATTGCATCACCGAATTCGTAAGATGGTTCACAACGGCATTCTTTTCCTTCTTTTGGAAATCATCATTTAATCATTTATTTTGATTGAAGTGCATATATCATTTAATGTACGGTATGTTCCAAGAATGGTCACTAATAAATTCATGAATTTTAGTGATTATTTATGAATTTAACTCATAGGTTAAAATATTAGCAAAATTTTTTCGTACCAAAAAAAGCAAGGTATATCAAAAAGCTCTAGTGTTAAATTGAGAATATAAAGGTACTATTTTATCAAGCATACTACCCTATTTCTTTACACCATCACTGAAAGACGATTAACTTACGATGATGGCATAATACCGGTCTCGGAAGACCATCACCACTTGAAAGACCACTAAATATATCAGCGAACACTGTTGGTGGTAAACGATATGTGCGGCAAAAGTCAGGACCATAAAAAAGACCATCATAAAGACGGCTACAAAATTGATATGTTCGTGACTGAAATGCTAACGATTCACTGGTATCATTAAATAAGATCAACATACGTAGACAATAATGCCGCAGAAAGAACAGAATATCCAAAAAAGAAACCATTAATGTAAATATGAGACTCGCTTTGAAAGTAGGTTATAAAAAGCTAATTAAAGTTGCTACATATGTACTTCAATTTTATATATTCCTCTTAGAATTGATATTTTAGAAGAACAAAGTACTATCAAAAGGAGCTTCCCACTTCTACTCGTTATTCCTTTTCAAAGTATCCTATCTTATCATGACAATGATTAAATTCTCGATGAGTACCAATTACTTTTTTTATTCCCCATTTTTTTGGGGTTTTTTTTTATTCCCCATTTTCGATCCAACTCTGCAAGGCTAAGTGCAGTTCAGAAAATTAACTAATAAATTTAGTTTTAAAAAAAGGGAAAAAATGAAAACGTTTACCGTATCAAAATTTTCAGTCAAATTTATAGCCCCATTGATGAATAATCCTTCTTCTGCTTTTTCTCTTAATGGTGACGTATCAGAACGAGCATAACGGAGAAGAACTGCTTGATTTTCCGGATCTTGCGAAGTGAAATTTGAAGTTTTCCAAGCTTCTTCCCAGTGAATAGTGATTGATGTGCCTCTCTGTAAAAGTATGAATTAATAAAAAAAGAAAACGCCTTAATTCTAGTAGTCCAAAATACTGCAGTGCAAAATCTACTCCCTGTTTCATCAAACAGAGAAGATTTCAAAGCAATTTTAATTTGTTCAAATAAAATTTTTTTTTCTTTTTCAACCGAACAATTCTTAAATTTAGAATATCAATTAGGATTTGTAATCGGACTAATAGAAAAGAGTATAAACACGGCAGTAACCTGTTCAATATCAATCGGTAATGATCCAATATCGGGACGAAAATTATTATTTATGGGTTCCACCAAATAACCAATGAAAGTGAAATTTGAATTCAATTTCAAATATATATCAGATGGAAGACCGCGGCGCGTTACTGGAATAACCCGCAAACGGTAAATCACTTCTGATTTTATACCTATAAAAATTCCTCAATAGAAATATATTCCTCGAAATTCTTACAAACGAAATATCCCGAACAATATTTTCCTTTTATTTATGAATTAATATATTCGGTATTAGATATGTGATTTCTTGCAGAACTCACGATAAAATTTTTTTATTGTGGCCAGTCCAATCAACCATACCAATAAAGTAAAACAAGACTTCCCATCAATTCTTTCTACTTCCCACCAATCTGATATTCGTAATATTACATCATGCAATGAATGAGAATATTTTGAATAATCAACTGTGTATTATCGATGTAGGATTGCTAAATTAACATTCCCACCTCTCTTAATCGGATACTATCTTATTCCAAATTGGCTAGCGTCAGTGTGGGTCGCTAGAGATTTTCTACAAAGGTACTTGGATTTTCATTTTGAAACTTGTCTGAGACATATCTATGATCCATTCATCTCTCATTATTTTTCATCACAATTACTAAGCAGAACCTTAAAGAATCAATGGAGACAAAATGAGATTACAAAATTAACAACAAAATCAAGTACCATTTAAAAGGCACAGTGTTGAGTTTGGCAAAATATCTCTTTTTTTAACTTCACGTATAGACTCAGAATCCTCGTAATATTCGACGATATATCTGGAATTATGCACAGATCTACAACTTTTGCTATATTTCTATGAATTTTCTACCAAAAAGAAACTTTTACGAAAAAAAATTATTAAAAATAAATTATGATATACATATATTTCAAAGCGAGTATATTTGTTACTTTTGTATGAGGCCGTTTGTTACATCAATCGACGGTTGCTCCCACGAAATTTTCAATGTCTCTTCACTTGATCTGCTTAACGTAAGTTCCATAGCCTTATGTGATACTGAATTTGAACTAGTTATGTCATTTGAAGCAAGTATCTTCATTTCATAAATTATTCATGAGGACTCCATGGAAATGAAATAGGAATACTGGATCAATGTAACATTTCTATATGGGCTTGGCCATGATTTTTGCTTAGACATATATTCTTGGAAAATTTTTTATAAAAGTGCGAAGGATGGTTTGTAATGTTATAATAATGATACTGATCAAATCTTCAGTTGTTGATTTAAATTCCCTACTGGTGTTCAAGAACTGCATAAATATGGGTAATTAAAGCATATTCACTCTTTTAACTCTATAAAGAATACCTCCGTCCCAAGATAGAGCTGTTACATGTTCCGAAAGTGGTGTAATTTTTCCGACTGCATCTGTTTTGATAAATGACATTTGAAATGTATAATTCCGACGAGGAAAAAATATGTAATTCGATGAGCAGCATTTAGCAACACACCAATTATCGGCTGTACAATGAACATTGCGCAACGGTACGTTATTTGCACTACCACCTGAAAGTTAACAGTTTCATTCGATTTATGAAATGTTCTGGCTTGTCACTGACACCAACAACAAGTCCTAGCACTGAGCAAATTTTTTCCAAACAAGACAACATAAAACACATGATGCTGACGAACTGAAACCAGGACGACAATCCGTTAAAATCACAAGATCAAAATGTAAAGAACACTTCCGGAACAGCTACCAAAAAAAATTTATTAAAGTTTCCCCTATCTTTTTTAAATTAAGAAAGTACTCCCATATGACAAATAGTAGTTCAATAAAAACATCGCGTGATTAGCTTCGAGATAATCCACTGTTTGCGGTAACTGCCACTTTATGTTGAACTGTGCACTGAAAGACAATTTTTTTTTTAAAAAAAAAAATTAACTATATGCTACCATTAATAATAATCTTGATAAGAAGAATTGATAGAGAACCTTACTGAATAGCAGCTAATCCTCTATGTACTATCCATCGCATAAACCATCGGTTGATTTTTTACGAATTTTTATGGTTTATAATTAAATTTCATCTTACTTTGAGAGAAATAAATGTAAGACAAAAATATCAAACGCAACAATGAAAATTCTACTTCGCATGATCGACAGTAACCTCGAGATTCGTTATCACCGAATCAATTTCAGCCTCAACCAATAAACCAATAAATAAACTTCGTTCACCAATAGCATTGCTTGCAATGCATTGATATAATCCCTGAAATAATACTTCATAAGAAAGAAATAGTGATACAGATAGCAGTTAGGAAGAATCAATGAAGAATAAATTTACCTGATCGGTTCGTTGCACACTTGAAAGGAGCAAATCTTTGGTGAATTCAACCATACTTACACCCATTTCATTGACAACAATTTCCGATACGAAACCTTCCACAGGCAGTAACTGAATAAAAATTAATTAGTCTCCTGCAAAGCTCAATGATTAAACTTTATACGGCAATGATTTGTTTTCCAAATGCTTTCTCCTAACTTTTAATATAATACCTCGCGTTATGTAAATATGCATATTAATCTGCCATACTTTCTGCAACATCTTAGAATCTACTACTAATATTACAACTTCCACGAGAAATACATGAAGCTGGCTACCAATCATTTAGACATATTTTAAATGATACTTCACACAACTTCGGCAGAGAGAATTTACTATATGAATGATATAATCTACATTTATCTTATAAAATGTGCACATGTCATTCTCAAACTTTCCTTTCCACTTATTTCTCAAGTTATCTAATTAATATGATCAAGAAGGAATATGAAACCTTATGCACTTCTGCTTCTCCAAAACGACATATGCATGATTTATTTTTCACACTGCTCTTGTAAAGTTGGCTTTTTTTTGTAACAGCAACTTTTAAAATGCGATAAAATTGAAAAAAAAAAAGATCTACCCCACGATGTGAAATAACAAATGTTAAATAGTAATGTAACATAATTTGATAAAAGGCGGTCAGTCCTATTCGACAGAATTATTTACAGTTCTGTTTTTGAACTTCATCATCTAACAAGAGGCTAAATCAGCTTCGCAATAAGATCTTTATTTTTTAATTTAAGGCACTGCTGTAAGTATGCAATAAATTACACAGATGGAGCTGACTACCCCACCATTACTATTCATATTCCAGAATAACGAGTCTGTTTCGAATGATCGACAAGAGGGCATCTTCATATAATTTACATAAATTTGATCAAGCATTATAAAAACGATGCTTCTCCACAAAGGTGTCATTTGCTAACAAGACGTTAACCAATTTAATTCTATTATTTTTGTTTTACACAATTAGCAATTGTGAAAATTGTAAGAACACCACATCTGTTCCACGGAGCTAAAGAAAATGTGCATACAGAAGAAAAAAGTTCATGCAGCTAATGATATTGAGAAAGAAAAGAATAAGAAATCAAATAGGAAAAATGACAATGAAAAACAATCAAAGAAAGCTGCAGGTGATGAAACTGAAGCTGCTAAAAAAACAGAAAAAAAAGTTATCGATTTACAATCAAAAGACAAAACGAAAAAAAGAGAAAGACGATCACATGTTTTCTTCGACATTATCATCGGCGGAAAAACTTCAGGACGTATTGTGATGGAACTATTCAATGATATAGTACCAAAAACAGCCGAAAATTTCCGGTGCTTATGCACTGGTGAGAAAGGAGTCGGTATACTTGGAAAGCCTCTCCATTACAAAGGTTGCAAATTCCATAGGGTTATTCCAGAATTTATGTGTCAAGGAGGTGATTTCACGAACGGTGATGAAACCGGGGGTGAATCTATATACGGGGAAACTTTTCCAGATGAAAATTTCATCGAGAAACATACTGGACCAGGAATTCTATCGATGGCAAACGCAGGTGCTAATACGAATGGTTCTCAGTTTTTTCTATGTACTGTAAAAACAGATTGGTTAGATGGCAAACATGTAGTATTTGGGAAAGTTATAGAAGGAATGGAGGTGGTGAAGAGGATTGAAGCAGTGGGTTCTGAAGATGGTACGACACTGCAGGAGGTAGCAATTGCGGATTGCGGTGAATTATGAGAAAAACTTAATATCGTCTTTCTAACAAGGAAATCAAAATCGTCATTCATGAGTATCGATAATTTTGTAATTATTCTCAATGCTGTTGACTGACACTAAAATATATTAAAGTCTAATGCAATGGTAATACCATATTGAATTGCATAATTTTTTGGAAAATTTTTGACAACAGATTGTGAATTTCTTCAGAAACAAAAAACAGTATCCACTTCATAATCTCCAGTCTACTGATTTTTGCTTTAATCTAAATCCCGTAATTTCAGTTCTTCTCATGACTTTTGAAGAATACATAAATAGCAGTCAGAATATGAAAAACTGAAGAAGAGAAGAAAAATAACGTCCTTGATCATGATTACAGAGTATATCTCAGTAACCTTAAAAATAGTCTTTAACCTGCTCATCACTAAAAAATGAGTAACTGTGAAATCCGATATCAAAATTTAGAAAAAGCATTTGATAAGTATGAAGAACTACCTTTGCTCTCCCAAGTGGTACCACTTTTTTGCCATCTTTGTACCAGTTTATTTGAAATGATGTATCATGTGGTTCAACTGATCCCGAACAACGGAGCCGAATTGTTGTCCCAAGAATCCCAGTGATTCTCCGCACTGTACGTTTGGTCAACAATAATGGTGCCACTAAATTGTAGATCAATATCAAATTCGTATCATATTCCAAAAATTTTTTAAGAAAGCTAAACTACAGAATCAAATTCAAATAAATCCACTTCGAGGGCATTAATCTTGGAAATATTAAAGAGTCTGAATGCCGCTATGTGTTAGTTCGTTCTGAATTTATTATAATGTAACACCTCACATAGCTAAAAAGACGTTGCCTAAGTTTTGTGTATATGCTTGCGTAGGAAAAGGAAAGATGAACGTTTATTTCATAGTTTTCAAAATGAAAAAATTTATACATATTATCAAACAACCTTGAACTGTGATAAATGTTGAAATTTGTCGAATTGTTTTCCCAGAGGTAATGCACGTATACTTGCCACTATCTTGAGTACTGGCTGAATGAATTACCATTGCACTACGTGATTTCTCATCATCCTTTTGATATTCTGTAATAAAATCAAGCAACAATATAAAGGACAAATAAATGTACCAATCGCTGACTGAGACTAACGAGCAATCTCAAAACCAAAAGTAGTTCAGTTACATTGTTCCTTTTCATCCTTTTTTTTATTCTTTCCACAT